CTGAGCAAAGGGATAATTTCTGAGGAAGGTATATAGTAGCAATTTATGGGAAAAATTGAGTGATGTGACAGATAATGCCAGAATTGAATTCTAAGATTTACAAAATTCCTGGTTGGTGTCCACTTTAACAACACTTCCACCCAGTGTGGTCACAGAACTGTTTTACAGAGTTTCTTTTTTTCCTCTTCAGAACCTACCCCAGAATAGAATGCTATCACTCTGTGGTCTGGAGTGCTGAAACCAGCACTCCAAATACTTAGCATCCAAATACTTAGGCAGCTTCAAAATCTAGAAATTCTTCTGTATATTGATAATAAAAACAGTATTTCCAATCTGGTGTCTAATACTTTTACTTCTCAGCAGCATAATACCACTTTGGTCAGGTTGAACCACTGCACAGTTTTGCAGTTCTTTGAGAAAGATGATGAAAACAATTCAAAAGACATGATGGACATGCAATGATGAAAAAATGGTACAACTGTGACTCCTTCCCCGTAAGTGCGAAATATCCTTGGTTCCTTCCACACTGTGTATTTATTATAAGCCCTTATATCAGGGATTTTCTTTAAGTTTTTGTAGCACCAAATAGACACAGTGACTAACAATAAATAATTCTGAAAATTCACAAAATATTTACCACATCAGAAATTTTCTAGAGCATTCCTTTTTTCCATGTTCCTCAATTGAAGTTTTCTTCATGAGAGTAAGCTATAACATAAAATTGAATTCTATCCCCTTTTTGTCGCTGATGTGATGAGTAATATTTTTCTAATGTTTTGTATGCTACTTTATAATTTCAAAGTATTTTTATATACAATGACTCATTTATTTTAATGACTTGTTCATTCTCATGGAGTAGTGTTCCCCCAAAGCTACAGATAACAGTTACGCATATGAGCTTTTACATCAGGCTGCATGGATTCATATCCCAGTTTCCCCTGCTAGCTGTGTGATCTTGGACAAGTCACATAACATAGCTGTGCTTTCTTTTTTGTGTATAAAACTGAACCTACTGCATAAGGTTTAGGAAATTGCCCATGAAAGCACTGAGCACAGTAGCTACATGTTATGAGCAAATTACTATATACCAATTTCACTAGATAATTGTGCTTTATGGGTCAAATAAGCAGCAGTCTCGAGTGGTGTGTCCAGGTAAGTGAGGGAGTTTTTTTTCATGATTTCCATGGGGTGAAGAATTTTATTTCAAGTTGTGAGTGGGACTCAATGGACAGTAAACTCAGTTATGGCTAGAGTTCAGTGTGGAGAAGATTTTCCTGATAAGCTCCACGCTAGTACTAGGCCATCGTTCATTCTCATTGCCTTTCCAGAACCTAACCTGTACTAGGCACACAAGAAATATTTGTTAAATGGATAAGGATGTGGTGATGTTTGAGTGGGTTGATTATTTTTCAGGTTAAGTACATTCTAGGAATCAAATATGAGAAGATTAATCTTTAAAGGGAGAAGGTTTAGGAGTGATGACTTCAGGTGACTGTAAATTCCTCAGAGAAATGTGGATATTTAATAGGACACAAGTGATAGGGTGGATGATAGGACTTTTCTTCCTTTTTGAAATCTAAAACATAATGTTTGATGAGATTTAGAAATGGAGTTTCACTTTTGGATAATCCCTGCCAAATCAGAGTGCTTTCAGAGAAAAATAGGTTTAATTTTATTCATCATCAAAATCTGAATTCCTGAACATGTTCCTTATTTAATGGTCCTTGAAGCCCTGAAGGCTTTGAAATAATTTGATTCCAAAATCACACATCCAAAAAGGATGAAGCGCTAATTCTGATTCTAATGATATTTAGAAATTATAGTGCCAATTGATACAATAATAAGCTAGTGAAATTATCGGAAGGCAAATGCATTTATTTATTTATTTGCCTCTTTAATCATTCATTCAACAAATATTTACTGAGTACCTGTATGTGCCAAGTAATCAACATGGTGGTCACAGCCCCTTTTGTGTTATAGAGCTTGTGGCCTAAAGAGGGACAAATGCAGGAGGACCATTTCATATTTTGGAATGTCTTCCTCTGTACTGGCCTCCACAAATCTTCGAAACCTGATCTCTATTTTATAATGCTGTCTAATTCTGGTCTTGCTTAAAAGCTATGTGTAAGTACAAGTGTCTAACAGATGAAAAAGTCAGGCATTATTCACATGTTCACAAATATTTATATAATGTTTGAAGTAATGTAGACAAAACAGTCTATGTCTTGGAGTCCTATATGTACAGCTGAATAAAGAGAAGTGAGATAAGGTCACAGCTGAAAACTGTATTTGTAAATTGGTATAACCCATCTCTAGCAAAGTTCTTCTCCGATAGTCTCTAACCCTTAAAAGGCCCCTGAATGTTAGATTTTGCATTTAGATCTTAGCATTGTCTGAAAAGATAGTGGGAGTTCACATAACTAGAGAATTCCCTATTGATTACATGATTGAGGAAGCACAAAAGTCTGTTATTCTTTCCAAAGTCAATTGCAATTTAAACTCATTATCTCCCTGCAGATGTTCCATTTCATATGGCAACAGAATCAAAATGTAAATGCAACATTGAAAAGGTTGAGGAATTCTATTACTGAGCTACGCTGTACTTGTCTGTTTTTAAAATAAGAGCAGAAAAGAGTGTAGAAAAACTATGTTCCACTGGCCACCCGCTTGATCAGGAGACTGAACTAAAATTCACCAAGATCCTTGATGAGAAGTCACAACAAATTTCCTCCCTGACTTTTCATACTTAGTTTGTTTATTCTGCTTAAGTATTGAGTTTCAAAAAACAGCAGGCTTTTAAAAAAATGGTGCAGAGTATGTCAGTGGCTCTAATGTAAGCATTACTAATAAAGAGCATGAGTACATATTAGGAAAATTTTTTCCTTTCCCTTTGATTTCTGTGAAGTGTAAGAGAACCAGAAATGGCTTAGGCCTAGGGGTGGTATTTTGATTAAAAATTTGGGGGAAGGTTTACATTCCAACAAACTCAGTTTTAGTCATTTGGATGTAAGACCACTCTGACACACAATCTTAGATCCCGTAAGTGTGATGAACTCCCCCTTCACTTTGACAAACAACCTGGAACACATTCATCAGTATTGAACATTATGCAAAAGAAGCATAGAAACACAAAACTCCTAGAAAGCAGAAATCAAAGGTATCTGCACTTTTGATAGTTGTGTCTGAAATTCTATGAAAATACTGATGTTGATATGAAATCATTTACGTTCACATTAACTGAACATTTACCAGCTAAACAAAAACTTACTTACCTTAAGCTCTAGCACAATGGACTGAAATGTGTTGATGACCATTTTCTTGTTACAAGGGTGCAATGATTTCCTTTTATGAGAATCTGTGGCACTGCCTGAATACCTCTAATATTTCTTTGATTAATAACTAAAATATATGATTTATTAAATTTTTCTTATAAAAATGAGAGCTATCTTTCAAACTGAACAATACTCATATTGTTTCCATTTATGCCCTATGCCATGCTTGTCCCTTTTATAAACCTACTGAACATAACATTCAGGGTCCTCACTGTCCCTACCCATATCCTCACTTCTCTCTAACACAATATGGTTATGCTTTCAAGGGTGGGAACTTGTCATCACTGCCAGACACTGACACAATCCCCAGATCCCTTGCAGTTTGTTGCCTGTCAGTGATGCACTATGAAGAGTGAAAGTTTGGTACATCTACTATACACCCAACGGTGCAAAGTAATTCTGACCAATTCTGTCGGTTTTCCTAGAATTTCAGAAAGACAGTCTTTTAACTGCATTTCGTAAATTTCTGCTTTGGGGGAAGACTATCTGAAATGTCAATATCACCGTGCACTGGCAAAAGGGAGGTTGCATTTGAGTAATATTCATATCTGTAAGTAAATATTCATATCTGCCTCTGTTTAGAGATTGCTTAACTTGGCAATTATCATTTAATCTCATATATTTTTGTGCTTTATGTATTAAAGTGTCCACTTATTATTACTTCCTATTAATTCCATAAATTAAAATCGGATCAAGTGTCTAGATTTACCATCGGTAAAAAATTATTAGTTGTATATGTGGCTCTTAATGGATTTTTCCAAAGATATTTTCTTCTCTATTTACTTACAGGGATATGTGAAACAAAGTAAGTATCTTTTCCTTCTAGAGGAAAGCATTTGTCACTCACAAAATTGGTATCACTGGCTTGCATATGCCTATTTTGAAAAAGAAAATATATAGATATGTTTTCTAAAGCCCAAAGCTTTGCAATGTCAAATAGACATGTATGACAGCATTATCAGTGAATACAGGAAGAGTTTGAATTTCTCCAGAGTGCATCAATCAAAATGTAAAACTTAAGAAAAATTGAGAGAAGGGAGAATATATATATATATATATGTATAAATATATATATATATATGCTCATACATATATGTATGGGTATATATGATCAATATAGGAAGATAGGTCCTTTGCTAGTATTCTTTTACCAGAGACATAACTCTTGGTAAGGAAATACTTTAAGTTATAACAAATGTACTCTGATAATATATATTTCATGGAATAAATATACACTATATTCTCTTAAGGTTTATAATAGTAGATGCAAGCAATATTTAAATTAAAAAGTATAGCACTAGGTTCCCACCCTTGCTTCTAATAAACTAAAAACTGAGCTAAAAATGTCTCATTTTGTTAATGCATAAAAATTCATGAAAACAGAAAATAAGAAGCCAATTGTTTCCAGAGCCTGAAAAGAGTATATAGTATGGTCACTTGTCATTTTCAAGAGGAGATGGGATGCTGAGTTTTCAATTCATTGGAATTGCAATTCAGATAACTCAGCAGCATGGGTTGCGGAACAGGTCAGGGGGAGGGGCAAAGTGTAGGTTTCTCTCAAGGGGTAGCGGCCTTGACCTGATGCCGTTTGAACTACAACCTAAGGAGGATTTGTTACTCTCTGGAAAAGCCGGACCAAAGATTGACTGAATCCTGTCCCTGGTTACCTATTTGAAAGTCACAGATTTTGTTCTTATTCTGCTTCAGGCTGTAGAATGGAAAATCCCTCCCCCTACCCACTGGGAATGCCCACTGCATTGCATGGAAGGGCTGTGTGTGTAAAGAGCACGGGAGCAGGGAGTGCGGGCCCCGAGAAAGGAGGTGTTGAGTTGTCTTGGTAAAGAATTTGTACACCATGTGTTCACAGCTTGTTGACAGGTATAATTATTGGCATTGTCTTTTTCTGTGTGCTGGGGTTCTGAAGCATGTTTTCAAATTTGTGACTATCAGATGCTTGATCAAGTAGCTTCTCCTCAAGGGCCTGAAAAGGGGAAGAACAGTGAAATCTGTGATCAGTATTCATTTATTAAGTCCAATATGCTAAAAATATCAACAGAGCATGTTTTGTGTGAGAACAGTGAAGATTATTTTGGGCATGAATATTCATGCATAATCTTCCACATGTGAAAAAAATCACTTGATGTTTATAAAGGAAGTAATTACCAAACAAAGCCAAGAAAGCCACAGTTATTCCCCCAAATGAAATAAAAAACACTCGTTTGGAGACATTTCAAACATAGAACATTTCTTTGCATCATTTCCAGATGAGAGTACTTCTCTTCATGAAACATAAATAACATTTACATTACAACTCTCAGGGCACCTAGTAATGTTTTATTTCCGTGAATGCCAAAACCGACATGCAAAACAGGCTTTTAACAAAATTATTCTCTCTGTCTGCACTGACACTCCAGCTGTTCTCTTCTCAAGATGCTGTAAGCCCCACAAGATGCCACAGAGAAGACTGAAAACGTAAGCGAGGGCGCTGTGCCCATCAGGAGCCTGCTTATAAGATACTATGTAAAGGTAGACGTGCTATTGACATTTTAGCCACTAAACTGCTATTACTGCTAATACTATTCCTGCTATTACTAAAACTTTTGTTTTCTTTTGCAGAAGGGAAAGGGACCAAGGAATGGAGGAAGAAGGGAAGCAGAAAGAGATAGAAAAAGAGAATTAAGATGTCATAAACATGTACCAGTTCTTCCCTATGAATACAATCATTATGTACTGCAAAATGTACCAAAAATGAAGATCGAATAGCTAAACTTAGTGAGTAGTTTCTTAATTGCCATCTATTTTGCCAAGGATCTTTTTTTTTCATTAATATTCACAACAAACAGTCATACTCAGTCTGACTGAATAGCTTCCTAAAGGTCATGTAAGTCATAAGTGACAGCTATCTACACACTGAGTTTTTATTTCATTAAAATTATCATACAGTCACATTTCCCAAGAGAATAGACTCAGACCTGGGGAATCTAGTAAGATTCTTGGAGCGCTTTCTGTCCAGAGGTGCAGTAAGTCTAAGAGGTACAGTGGGCAAGTATCCGAAATGTGAGTCACTGAAACCTGTGAAGAACCATCTGTGTCCAGTGGGCTCCTGATTTCCCGCAGTGCTATGATTTACAGTTTAACAATTCATTCTGTTAAACAAAAGCCTCTTTTTCATCCTAGTATGAGTTATTTGGCTCAAACTGCCTAGTTACTTCTTACACGAGCCATCGTGGTAGGTAGAATAGTACCTTCCATATCCTAAATGCATCTGAGTTCTAATCCCCATAACTTGCAAATATCTTAGATCATATGTCACAGGAAAATTAAATTAGCAGATGATATTGTGGGTGCAAATCAGTTGAAGTTAAAACAGAAACATCATTAAGGATGACTCAGTTGCATCTATTGTAATGAAAAGAAATAGAGGGATGGGTCAAAGAAACAATCTAAAAATGAATTTAAAATACTTTAGATAAAAATAAAAATATTTATGATCCAGTAAAATTAGTGCTTAGAGGGAAATTTGTAATGTTGAATATGTACCTTAGAAAGAAAATTTAAAATTAATAAGTGAAGCTTCTATTTTAGAAAAGTAGAAAAATATTAGATACAAAGTAAGCAGAAGAAAAGGAATAATACAAATTGGAGCAGAAATGAATGAAATTGAAAAGAACCTATTAATATGAAAATCAATGAAACAAAAAACTAGTTCTTTGAAAGGATCAATATTAATAAGCCTCTAGCAAGGCTAACATACAAAAAGAGAAAGAACACAAGCTATCAATGTCAAAAACCAAAGGTGACATCACTCAAATCTGATGGACATTCAGATTTTCATAGTAAAAAATTGGATGATCTAAATGAACTGGACTAATTCCTTGAAAACAGTCAGCAAAAGTTCATATAAGAAATAGATAATCTCAGTAGGTCTATCATTCTAAAAGAAGCTGAATTAAAAAAAAAGTAATAAACCTTCTAAAATAGAAAGCCCCCAGCTCAGAAAGTTTCATTGAGGAATTCTACCAAGCACTTAAGGAAAAAATTATAAGCATTCTCTGTTCTCTTTATGAAGATAAAATTAGAGGAAATATTTTCAAATTCATTCAATATAGGTGGTTACTTTAAAAAACATGAGATAAATGCAGGAAAATAAATCCACAGATGGATATTTTCTATGAAAAAATAAAAATTCTCAACAAAATATTAACAAATCAAATTCAATAAAGTGTAAGAAATTTAATGACCACCCACAAGAGATTCATGAAACTACTGTATAATTATGTATGAAACTCTACATAGTTATTTCAAATGTACATCTAAACTTATTAGTATGAGCCATATTGTTTATTTGTTCAATTTTAATAATCGAGTATTTGGCATATGAAGCATGAACATACATAAAACACATTCTATCTCTTTTCCTCAAATCTTTTTTTTTTGGGGGGGGGGAAGGTACTAGGGGTTGAACTCAGGACCTTGCGCTTGTCAGGCAGGTATTTATTCCACCGAGATATCGCCCCAGCTCTATCGCTTTTCCTGTAGGCAAAGAATTCAGTTTCTAGAAGCAGCAAAAAGCAAGAAAATGAATTTTCCCCCAGAGTTTTATCAACCCTAGTGAGACACTGTGGCACTTCTGTTGTACAGAATTCCAAGGTAATAATTTTTGAAATTTTTATTTTGAATTGACAATAATTACATGTATTTATGGGATACAGTATGATGTTTTGATAGATGTCTATATTGTGGGATCATTAAGTTAGAATAATTAACAAATCCATCACCTCGCATACTTATATGATTTTGTGTGGTGAGAATATTGAAAATCTATTCTTTTCATAATTTTGAAATATACAAAGCATAAACATATATTATAGTCACCATTCTGTGAGTAGACCACAGAAGTGACTTGATCTGTGAAGCTGATTTCTCTTGTCTAAGCAAAATATATGTCCTTTAATGAGTAGTAATCATCCACCCCTTTTGCATTCTCTGGTAACCACCATGCTACCCTCTACTTCTTTGTTTTGCTCAGGTTTTTTGAGATAAGGTCTTGCTATGTATGTAGCTGAGGCTGCTGATGAGCTCACTGCGCAGCCCAGGTTGGCCTTGAACTCATGATCCTCCTCCCTCTGTCTCCCAAGTTCTGGGATTACAGATGTGGGCCATCATGCCTGGATCTTCAGAGTTCAAATGCTTCAGATTTCTCATATAAATGAGATCATGTAGTCCTTTTCTTTTGGTGTCTGCCTTATTATACTTAACATACTGTCTTCTGTACTCATCCTTTTTCTTGAAAATACAGGATTTCTTTCTTTTAAAGACAAATAAGATTCTATTGAGCAGAAATGTCACATGTTTTGTGCGAACCTCATGTTGTCCCTCTAGTATGAGAACCTGAAAAAGTAATGAAAATCTATAAGGTACAAAAGACACTGTAAAAGGGAAAGAAGCTGTTCAATATGAGGCAAGAACTGGGATGAGGAAAAAGACAAATGACAGAAGGGGAAAAGATACATTAGGTAAAGATGCAGAATAGTTTGGATGATTGTATTATTGACTTTTGCTAGTCTTTTGAAAGGCACAGTTAATGCTTACAAGCTTTTTCTTTTTATTCTTTTTTTCCCTCTTTTGAATTTCTTATAACTTTTTGTTATTGTTTTTAAATGGATCCCTAAAAAAAGAAAAAAAGAAAGAAATTAAGAAGAGAAAAAGGACAAACAATTGAAAAAAAGAGAGAGACAAAACAAATTAAGCATTAACTGCTCCTTTTCATATACCAGCAGAAATTCATAGTGCAGTTGTTCAAACCATCCTGCTTACATACATAGATAAATCTCATTCTCCCACTCTCTCCCCTGTCCTTCTCTTCAACTCAGTAACTCTTTACTTTCAATAAGCTCATTCCTTTTTCCAAGTATCTACTGTACCCTTCAAATTCTATTTTTCTCTTTTAGGTTCTCACACTAAAGAGACAATATGATGTTTACACATGCAGGTCTTATTTATTTCACATTAGAGTATGTTCTCTAGTTGCATTCATTTGCTGACAAAAGACTCAAATTTATCATATTTTATAGCTGAATAACACTCCTTTGTGTAAAAATAGCACATCTTTTTTTATCCATTCTTCAGTTGATGGGCATCTGGGTTGTTTCCACGATTTAGCTATGACAAATGGAGCTTCTATAAACATGGATACACATATTATCACTGTGGTATGAGGTTTCTATGTTTTTCTGGAAAAAATACCCAGGAAGGGAATAGCTGGTTTGAGTGAGATCTCCAATCCTAGGTTTTTAAGGAATATTTATACTGATTTCCATAGTGGTTTCATCAGTCTGCACTCACACCAACAGGGCAGAAGGGTTTCTTTTTCACCACAGCCTCTCCAGCATTTGTTATTGGCTGAGTTCTTGCTGTTAGCCATTCTTTCTGGGGTGAGATGGAATCCCACTGTTCTTTTAATTTGTATTATCTCAAATGACCAATATTGAACATTTTTTCATATACTTACTTGCCATTTGTATTTCTTCCTCTGAGAAGTATATATTCATTTTAATACCCAGTTTTGGATTGGACTTTGTATTTGGGGGGCCTGATTTTAATTCTTTGTGTGTTCTAGATAAAAGGTCTTTGTCAAAGGAACAGTCAGCTATAATTTTTTTTTCCAGTTTTTGGGTTTATTTTTAATCTGTTGGAGATTTGCTTTGAAGTGCAGAAATTTTTCACAAAGATGAGATTCCACTTGTTGATTCTTTGAAGTATTTCTCATGCAGTTTGGTTTTTGTTCATGAACTCTTTACTCAACCATATGTCTTTAACATTTTTACCTACATTTTTCTTCAAAAGACTTACTGATTCTGTTTTAATGTTTAGATTCTTGATCCATTTTGAAGGTAATTTAGTGCATGGTATAGGCACAGGCCTAACTTTTACCTTCAGCATGTGTGGAAGGCCAGTTTTTCTAGCACCATTTATTAGACA